GTTTCACATGTCCAATAGTAGCGAGGATCCAGTTGGAGGTGCAGGAGATTGCTTGTATCACAGGATGTTCTATCCTAAGGAGTACACTTGCGACGATTGACTGCATAATCCCATAAAACGTAATCCCCACATGTGTTGCTAGGTTAGATTAGGAAAAATGAGGCTAGATCTGATTCCTAGACAGATTTGGTGTACTGGTATACCCTCATTCTGCCAATGATATCTCACTGACTAAAATCCTAGTAAGTCTTGGCTAAATCGAATGGTTGAAAAACGGTAGTGGTGGCTGCTGGCAAAGATCGTCAAGTTAATAAGAAACATCAGCTTGTTTATAGCAAATTCAATCACCTTCACATCTATACTTAGAGGCTTAGGCCTAAGACGAGTATTTAGGAATACCATAGCATAAGCATGCACTCCAGAGAAACACCGGGAGGCAGTTGAAGTATGCAACTGGATTCCTGAGTTGACATTGAAAAAAATATATATATATATATATATATATAATATTTATTCAACGACTCTTTCCCAAATGCATATAGTTACCAAAAAAGAAAAAAATCAAAGTGGAAAAATGAGTGCAAATAGGAGTCTGAGAAGCTCCAACCAAGTTATCAGGCCAAACTATAATACAATAGACATGTCCAAGGAGAGAAACAGTACAAAAAATAGAGAAGTAACACCATATCCAGCATAGAAGCCTATCAAGAAACAAGATAAAACAGAAATAGAAACACCAACCTAAAGATGGGTCCCTAAATTTTTTGTGAGGACATAATTCAAATATCCCTTATTATTAAAAATTTTCATTTCTATATTAAAAAATAAAAAAAAACTATCTACAAAGGTTCTTTATAGTTTTAAGTATCTATACAAATCATTTCTGGAATTATGTCCCTATTGAAATAAAGAGCTAGGAATTATGTCCTCTAGGGGACGTGGACATAAAGGGACATAAATTTTATATGCTAAATACTTTAAGAACCCATCTTTACACCAACCCGTATATCAACACTGCCCTCCAAGGCAAAAGAACAATAACAAGAATATATTAAAAAAGCAGTTCCAAAGTCCACACAGGCAAGTATAGAAGGCAAATAGAGTCAAATGGTAAAGGAAGAACTCGGAGAAACATCTAGTACTCCCTAAACAACTTCAGAAAAAGTGGCATGGAACAAGAAATCACAAGGGAAAAAAACACAACTCTCAGGTAACAAACCAAACCTATTTATTGTAGAATCAGCAAGAATTGATAACAGTGACGAAGAAATGTATGCCTCCAAACAAGAACCTTTCAAAAAACAAAGTGAATAGAAAACAGTTAAAGGAAAAGGAAAAACCGAAAGAACAAGCATCAAAATTAGACCACTTTCACCATTTGACAAAGAGACGAGATATGGTAGACAACAAAGCAAAATTGGAATCAAAGCATTAGATATATCAGGAGATAGCATCTGGCAAAAGATACAATATGTCATGAAAGTTTTGGATAGTCCTGAAGGCCTCCTTAAAATTCGCAGAAAAGAAAAACAAAAAGAAGTACAGATTATAGTCATTTTCGATAATAGGCAAGCTACAGACCTAGTATGCACAATCAACTTTCCAGAAATGGACAGCAAGCACATAATTCATATACCACTCACAACCCCCTATACAAAACAGAAAAACAGTATGAGAGTATAGGATATTCCCTTGGACACAAAACCTATAGAGGTATGCCAAGCCTTTTTCAAGTATGAACAAATTATTAGTATGAATATGAGTATCCAGCACATGTGACAAACTGTCCATATTACATTCCAGGAAAAGAGCAACAAGGAGAAACTAGCAAACATATGGAGCATCCTGCTTAAAGCAGATGCAGTAAGAGTATTTGATGTATAACTAAGTCTACAGGAAATAAAAAACAGAGGAAATATTGCAGCGAAATTAGTCAATCTTCCTTCAAATACAATTGCATTTGACTTGTGCACAATTTGCCAACAGGTTAAAGCAAAAATATGTTACATTTCCAGAACTGATAGCTACTAAAGAAGGAAAGTAGCAGTTGTTAATTTCGAAAATAAAGTAGATCTACAGAATGTACTAAAAAATGAGTTCACCCTTAGAGAAACACAAATCACATGGGCTCAAATCGATAACAAAACTTGTGCAATTTGCGATACGTATACACATCTAGCAGCAACTGTTCAATTAAAGAAAGAAGAATACAATGGCAACAATATAACCAAGAACAAGCAACAAAATTCGAAAGACTTTATCAGAAGTATAAATCAGCAAAAACATTAAACATAAGGAGAACAATAAAACAAAACAAATTTAACAAGTATCAAGCAAGCCAGGATTCTATGCAGCAGCAGTCAAGATGCAACAAACACAAATTTAATTAGCAGATAATTCTAACAACCTGTAGCAAATTTTAAAGATCCTTCAATAAGTACAACATGTGAAAGGGAAATTGCATGATCACATGAGTCTATACAATAATGATCCTAAAAATGAAAAATCTAAGAAAAATGAGATATCTGTAATATATATTTTTTTTTGATTTCTTTGATTTCTTTGATTTATTTCAGATATTTAATATAGTTGAGAAATTAGATATATTAGCGATAGTTGAGATAGTTAATATATTTGATATAATTTTTTGTAATTAGCATATATATAAAGCGAGAGAAAATATCTGAATAAAATTAACAATTAACAAACAATTAACATCTATTTGGTTAACATCTAATTGTTCAAATAAACTACTATTCAAATGTGTGGCATTTGAAGGTGAAACTGTGACCATAAAGGACTTTGGAAAAGTTTCAGAGTAGTTGGAAGTGTGAATGCTCATTGCTACAACAGGAACTTAGGTATAGTTTGAGTAGACGAATGTGCATGCTAACAGATGGAAGTTGAGTTTATTTTTGTAGATAGAGAAGATACTCGGACCAAATTATTACACCTCAGCCTTACAAAGATTAATTATTAGAGAGGACTTCAACCGATCCTCACAAACACAACCTCACAGAAATCAAATAACAAATGATTGAAATGGATGAAAGAATTACAAATCTGAAATACTATAATGAAGATGGAGTGGGGGCCATGGAGGAAATAGAAACCATTTTAGAACAAGACATAGACAACTACCTGGTTAAAACCAATCAAGAAAATAAACTCAAAAATAATAATAAAATTCAAGATCTTCAAACATAACAAAAACAAATCCATGTAACCATTCAAAACACCAACCAAACAATGAACAACCTCATGAGCACCATTCACAATCTAGTTTCTAATAACACAAACAACATAACCAACTATCAATAATGGGAAACAATCCAAGCACAAGTGCTAATGCACATAACATAGCTGACAATCTATCTAATATCTACAATTCAATAAACAACTATCCAGATAAAGACAAAAGTTCAGATGAAAACATTCTCTCAGATGAAAAAGAAACAAAAAACCATCCAAAAATAGATGAAACAATTAGTACATCTCCTATACTAGACACACACATATATTCACAATACACAACAAACACAAACAAGGCAAATACATATAACAAACTCTCCAATACTTGGCATATTATAATACATAATATCAGAGGCATCAATAATAAATTCAATAGACTTCAATGGCATGTCTTTTGTAAAGAGCAACAAATAAACATTGCAGTAATAACAGAAACACAAGTAACGAAACAAGACACAACATTTTAAAAGTTTCCTAACTATAGAACCTGATGGTCAAGCAACAACAAAAATGCAGAAATTGCAGTAATGATTCAGCAAAATATCACAGCACATGTGGGCAAAACCATCGAACTTATAGGAAGAGATATTAGCATCAACTTACATTTTAAACAAAAAATAGTAGTCACAATTATTGCATCATACATATCAGCAACCTAAAGATGGGTCCCTAAATTATTTGTGAGGACATAATTCAAATGTCCCTTATTATTAAAAATTTTCATTTCTATATTAAGAAATAAAAAAAACTACATACAAAGGTTCTTTATAGTTTTAAGCATCTATATAAATCATTTCTGGAATTATATCCCTATTGAAATAAAGAGCTAGGAATTATGTTCTCTAGGGGACATGAACATAAAGGGACATAAATTTTATATGCTAAATATTTTAGGAACCCATCTTTACAGCAGCCCTAGGTAAAGAAAGAAACCTGACAATGCACTAGATTGAGAAGAGAGCCCAGATTGCAAGAAAGAACAACCACAAAGTTATTATTCTAGGGGACTTCAACTCCATTCTGAATCCTAGATTAGACAAGACAATGCTGGCCAAAAACCAGAACAAATCAAACAATCTGACATCACACATTCTTAAATTTCTCAAATACAATGGATATATTGACACATTTCAAGAGGTACATCCATACTGGGAAGAATACACATGATAGAACAGCAGAAACACAAAAACCAGAATCGATCAGATTTGGATATTATCAGATGAAGACTGGAATCTATGTCATACATACATAACAGAATCAGAAGCCGTAATCCACAGTGATCACAAAATAGCAAGCTGTTTAATCGAGACCAGTGACATAACTCAGAAAGCTTATCAGAATAATAGAGAAAAGCCAAAATAGTGATACTCGATAAAATATATAACTACAAAACAATGGAAACAATTTTCAAAACAAATCACAAATACTATAGCAGTACAGGAGAAAAAAATCAATTCTGACCAAGTGTTAGCAAACAAGCTGTGGAATCTCATATGGGAAGCAATAAACCAAGCCATAAGAGACAAAATCAAAAAACAAAAGATCAAACCAAACAAAGAGAAAACAAACATTGCAGATAGAAAAATAGCATGCACAATTACAATACTCAACAGGGCCATAAACATTGGAGAAAAATACTTGACAAGAAAAATAGATGCTGAAAACATAGTATTACAGATATATAAGTGGAAAAAAACAAATGAATAGACAGCAGAGCTCTTGTCAACCAAGCTCACAAACAAATTCTGATGTATAGACCTAGTCCAGTGGTTTCAAGAAGTATGCAACCTAAAAACAGATATCACAAAAGTACTCAAGATCCACCTTCAATACAAAAAATAAGCTCAAATTCAAAAATACATAGAGATAAGACAATATAACCATCAGTTCACAAAGAAGAAAATGATAGACTCATTTCTTAACAAAAAGTCAACACACATTAAAATGGACAAACTGCTCCTCAAAGACCCAGAGAAGAATGCTATCACAGATCCAACCATAATCAAAAAAATGACAGTGAACCATTACAAACAGATCGCAACTCCAATACTGCAAAAACAGAAAACTGAAAAGTACAAATGGTGGGCAGAATTCATATCAAAAATACAAATAGATCCAACATGATATTCAGAGCTCACTGAACTATACAATACAAAAAATTGAAAAAACAATCAAGAAAATGAACAATAAATCTATACCCAGCAAATTTCAGCTGAGCTATGATATCATTAAAAAAATGGGAAAAACAGTATACACAAGAATCATAAACATATTCAACAAAGTGCTTGAAACACAAGAAATTCTATACTTCTGGCAGACAATCTAATATACCCCATACTAAAGATGGGTCCCTAAATTATTTGTGAGGACATAATTCAAATGTCCCTTACTATTAAAAATTTTCATTTCTATATTAAGGAATAAAAAAAAACTACCTACAAAGATTCTTTATAGTTTTAAGCATCTATACAAATCATTTCTGGAATTATGTCCCTATTGAAGTAAAGAGCTAGGAATTATGTCCTCTAGGGGACGTGGACGTAAAGAGACATAAATTTTATATGCTAAATACTTTAGGGACCCATCTTTACCCTATACCTAAAAAGAAAGACTAGTACCACAACCTCAACTTAACCTGACCTATCACATTGCTAGAAATAATCAAAAAGATTTTCACAAAAACATTAAACAACAGATTAGCCAAAGTCTTCACAAAACACAAGATACTATCTCCCCTCAACTAGACAGAACTCCCTAGAGAAGAAACATATGAACTATACATGTGGTAAAATTGAATTCAACCATTTTTCAAAAACTGTATTATGGTAGAATTACTAAGTAAAATATAGTAAATAATTGGAATTCGTATTTAATTCAGAATTGTATTGTCGATCAAATTTCCTTTTATGGTAATACAACCACATATATGATATGAACCAGTAGTGATCATTAACAATGTCTTGAAAGATGCCAGAGAAAATCAAAAAGAATGCTGGATTCTTACATAGGATATTAGCAAAGCATATGATTCTATGGATAAAAATCGTCTGGAAGATGCCTTGTTAAGAATCAAAATTTCACAAAACATCATAACAATATTGTTAAAACTCAATTCCAATAGAAATAATCAAATAATCACATGTTATAGGCTTTCTGATAGCTATAATCCAAACATAAGGATAGATCAAGATAACACAATTTCACCTCTTCTTTAGTGTATATACTATAATCCCTTCATATATAAAGTTGAACAAGAGAATCTGGGATACACAATCATTACAAATTATCTAACAACAGATCCAAGAATATTTCAAAAAACCAAACTCAATATATCTTCAATTACATATATAGATAATAACACATGAATTACTAATAGCAAGAAAAATCTAGAAAAAATAGGAAAGATTGTGACATCATTCATGAACCTAAACAACCTGAGAATAAACTCACAAAAATCATTTCTGCTAATGTGAAAAGGAAATTGCATGGTCACATGAATGTATGCAATGACAATCCCAAAAATGACAAATCTGAGAAAAATGAGATATCTGTAATATATTTCTTTTCTTTGATTTCTTTATTTTATTTCAGATAGTTGAGAAATTAGATATATTCGCAATAGTAGATATAGTTGATATAGTTGATATAGTTGATATATCTGAGATAATTTTTTGTAATTAGTATGTATATAAAGCGAGCAAAAAAGTCTAAATAAACAGAACAATAATTGCTAATCATATAATTGCTTAATAACTATTTGTTCCAATTACTATGCAAATGTATGACATTTGAAGGTGAAACTGTGACCATAAAGGACTTTGGAAAAGTTTCAGAGTAGTTATCAGAGTGAATGCCCATTGCTACAATAGGAACTTAGGTATAGTTTAAGTAGACGAATATGCATGCTAACGGATGGAAATTGAGTTTATTTTGTAGAGTAAGAAGGATACTCAGACCAAATTATTATGCCTCAGTCTTAAAAACTTAAATATTAGAGAGGACTTCGACCAACCCTCACATAAGTAAAATATAGTAAATAGACCTATGGGTCCATAGCTCAGTAGTTAGGGTACTATAGGTCAATATCATAAGCTATAGGTTCAAATTCACTAAGGGGCTAATATGATTTCCCGAAAAACCACGTGGAAATCTGTATGCCATTGGTCTAACTGTATAATAACTGATGCTTCTAATTATAGAAAAACTGATCTATAAGAAGATTGAAATACGATTGAATATCCAAAATTGACTAGGATTATCTCTGAAACGATTACATTGTCATAAAAGATAATAAGAAGAGTAGATCCCAAACCTGTAGAGTGCCTCTGAGGGATTTCTAATGGCTGCGTTAAAGGATAACAATCAAGCATTTGGCTATGTCGTATTTTACAGACTTTACTATTGGGAGGTCTTGGTGGGAGGTGAAAACCACAGACCACTTTGAAGAATCGAAAATCAGGATTCAAGATACTGTAATTGATAGCCTGATAACCAGAATACTCTTAATAAAATTGTTCTGGGAAAAATTAAAACAGATTTACATATCTTTCTGAAAACAGAATAGTGTGGTGAACCATTTAGGTTTAGGTAGTAGTTATACATAGCATTAAATTAGATAATATATAGCTAGTCATATATAGATAAGTTAACTATAAACATATATATATAATACTTATTGAGTATATGTAGCAATATCTTAAAAAGTTTAGTAAGAATTAGCTAGCAAATTAGCCTAGATGTAGTATTTGTATGTTGGTACTACTGTAATATCTCATGTACTGAAAGCATATATTTCAATAAAAGATATGGCAAAACATAGCTCAAAGATACATGGAAAAATTATTGGCCATATGGAAAGAATACAAATCTCCCCATTAACACTTCAGTACAATCTTCAATAAACACAAAATATATATAAAAACATATCAACAGTGAAGACAAAACCCAAGCAGCAAGAAAGAAGAATACAAGAAGAAAACCAAAAACAGCTCAAGTTTGGAAAAAAAGCTAAAGAAGAGATTAACAAGATCACAAATCGTATAAGTAAATAGAACAACATTGAAACATATACCGACGGCTCAGTAGAGGACATTGATACATATAAATGCAAAATGGAGATAGGCTGGACTATCCAGAATACAGAAACAAATAAACACGAGGAGTTTAAGTAAAACACAAAAAACTTTCCATCCTTAACCAGAGCAAAACTTATTGCTATCCTTAGTCTCATTTCAAAAATCTCGCAAAAAACAAACATTACAATATATATAGACAGTCAAACGGCAATTCAAAATATCGAGAAAAAGAATAGTAGCAGTAAAAAGCCCACATACAATGCAAACTGGATAACAATAAATCATATTCAAACACTTATTCAAAATAAAAAAGGAAAAACAAAGATAGTTAAAGTTAAAGTGTACTCAGTGATTCCAGGAAATGAGAAAGCTAATTAACTCGCAAAAGAAGGGATACAATTCTCTCAAGAACATGAAATTACAGTTATTCCAAACAGTAGCAACCACTGATGTTATTTATCTTGGGATGATATAGTCTTAGACACAAATATAAATGAATTCATCAAAAAACAGAATAGCACAAAATGAATAGCAAAGTGACTTATACAAAATAGACATATTGTTATTGAATAATTAAATTCGATAATATTATATTATTTTTATATTATTATTTTATTATTTTATTTTATTTTTACATTATTTTATTATTATTTTATGAAAATATTATTGAAAATATTAATTATAGGAAGGAATAATGTAATAATTCACGAAAGTAGGACGTCGGAGATCACGTGACCACGTGATTGACTCATGAAATTGTGAAAATCCTTTGAATTTCTATAGATTTTATAC